AAGGTCACTGATTCGAGTCCCGGCTGGTTCAGTTATTGTTTCTGTGTGGAGTTAGTATGTTCTCCCTGTGTTGGCGTGGGTTTCCTCTGGGTGCTCCGGTTTCCCCCACAGTCCAAACACGTGTGTGTGTGTGTGTGTGTGTGTGTGTGTGTGTGTGTGTGTGTGTGTGTACTTTTGACATAACATTGTGTTTTTCACAGATGATGTGATGTGGTTGTATAGAAAACATTTTGAGTGCCCAGAAAAGTGCTTTATGAATGTAATCAACTATTATTATTAGTATTATTATTATGATTATTATTATTAAAATAATAAAAAAGTTTCTGTGTGCTATCAAGAGTAAAAACTTAATGTTTAAACTGACTTTAAGACATTAAAACAGTTGTTGTTGTTGTTGTCTGAGTGCCTGAGGCACGGACTATAAAGGCTCCGCCCTCTTCCAGAGAGGAGGGCGGGAAGTAGCAGCTCATTTGCATTTATAGAGATATACAGGAATATTTTTGTATTTGATTGCAGTCAATACAATGCAGTTTAAAAGTTAAATCAATTGATTCTCAAAAGTGATGACTCATTTTGGGTTCAAATCTTTAGCCGCTTAACTCTAAGGCTATTCACATTTCAGACTGGGCCATCGGACTAATCACAACAGACCGAGCCATCGGACAAATCACATCGGACCAGGCCTTCGGACCAATCACAACAGACTGGGTCATCAGACCAATCACAAAAAAACTAGGTCATTGGACCAATCACCACAAACCGAGCCATCGGATTAATAACCACAGACCAGGCCATCGGACTAATCACAACAGACTAGGCCATGGGACCAATAACCACAGACCGGGCCATTGGACCAATCACAACAGACTTGGTAATCGAACCAATCACAACAAACTGGGTCATTAAACCATTAACCAAAGATTAGTCTCATGCACAGGAGGGGTTTGGAAAAAATTAATCGCTGAATAAATCATGTGGGAGGGGTTATGATAATTAGGTAGAGATAATTATGCAGATTAAGAGACAATGAAAGTGTTTTTTGCCCTGAAAGCAGATCAGCCTGTAGCTGGAGACCCCCAACACCAAAATATGACCTTTCCTAATGCATCATAGGGGCTCTTTAAAGCTGCTCCTGCAACACAAACATTAGAGACAGCACACATGCATGCATCCCACAGTGACTTACGTAGTTTGCATGGAGGACAGTGAAGAATTCAGGGTGAGTGATGAACTTGACGGCGGGACACTGAAGCAGCTGCGAGACGTTCGGGTTATTGACCGGAGATGAAGGGCCGTCTCTTCTCTGATCTACACACAACACAGGAACAAACACTGTTTAGGTTACGCTTTATTACAATCCCTATAGGCACAACTGTGTTGGCGTGGGTTTCCTCCGGGTGCTCCGGTTTCCCCCACAGTCCAAACACATGCGCTATAGGGGAACTGAATAAACTAAAGTGGCCTTAGTGGGTGTGTGTGTGTTAGCTGGAAGGGCACCCGCTGTGTAAAGCATATGCTGTAATAGTTGGAATAGGAATATGGCGGTTCATTCCATTGTGCATCCGCTGATTAATAACGTGACTAAGCCGAAGGAAAATTAATGAATAATGTATTAAAACAGCATGTTTTCTAAGTTTGCTTGTTAATATTGTATAATTTTATATTTGAATATTTTTAAAGTGCTTTATAAGCAAAATATATTACTATTATAATTAAAATCTGGAACGCTGATGAAGTTTTCCTGCTTTCTGAAGGCTGATCAGTGATGAGGCTGACCTGTGGATTGTGTTGTGGATTCGCTCTCGGTATCTCCAGTGTTCCTCTCAGATCCGCGAGTGTTTGCAGGCTCGTCTTCGCTCGCCATCGTCCGCTGAATATTCTGATACCTGAGGAAAAATCAACACTGCTGGGGGAAAACACTCCTATCATCGTCATATAAGGAAAAATATCTGCATTGTTCTGTCTGAGTTGATTCAGCAAATAATACACACATACTCTAGATTTATTTCAAGAGCTTGGTTCCTTTTGTATCAATTAAATGTATTGGTTTATTTCACATCAATCACACACATCATACCTTTTAATTAAAACAAATCTCTCGCATTTATTAACCCTTTAACTTCATTCCTTTGGCTTACTCTCTGATTTTTTATCAGGGGTCACCACAGCGGAATGACCCGGCAACTATTTCAGCATGTTTTACGCAGCAGATGCCCTTCCAGCTGCAACCCAGTACTGGGAAACACCCATAGACCCTCATTCAAACACACTCATACACTACGGCCAATTTAGTTGATCAGTTCCCCTAAAGCGCATGCGTTTGGACTGTGGGGGAAACCGGAGCCAACACGGGGAGAACATGCAAACTCCACACAGAAACACCAACTGACCCAGGCGAACCAGCGACCTTCTTGCTGTGAGGTGACAGTGCGATACCATCATTTTTAGTTTTAATGATAACCTAAATGCACAAATGTTCACCTAGGAAGTTACCATTCCTATTAAAGGGTTAACGCTGTTTTATAAATATCAAAGATGCTTAAGAAGTGATTTTGTTTTAGTTATAACAATTAATATAAAACATATATATATAACATTTTGAGGTCAATACATGTTTAGCAACTATTATTACAGTATAAAATAGCAGTTTTAAGAGAATATGCAGTAAAGTGGCATTTATATCTGTAATGTAAAGCAGCATGTCCCAGTCTTTGGAGTCAGAAATTATTATATGATGATTAAGAAATATTAATGATGCATGAAACTGTAATGCATTTTATTTTTCAGGATTGTATTTTGTTTGTTTTACATAATCTGTTGTAACATTATAATTATATTTAATCCACATTTGATTTGATCATTTTAATGCTGCTTGAATTAATAAATATAATTTATTTCTAAGCCACAGTCACACAAAAGACCCCAAACAAAAATCGGATTCTCCGCCAGTGTTGCCAGATTGAGCGGTTTTGAATAAATTTTTGCAGGTAAAAAATGACATAGGCAGGAAATGTGTAAAATTGGTCGGTTTTGTAACAGCGTGCAGCCAGCCCCTTCACTTATAAACCTGTTATGATCCCCCAAAGAGGTGCCATAGCACAGCGGGTTTTAGATTAGGTTTTGGTTAGCTACATCTGGCAACACTGTTCTCCGCTGACTCATTTGAGAAGGGTATAAACGGAGGTCAGAGCCAGCTCCAAGAGGGTGGGCTTTGGAGCTCCAAGTGGGCTGTGCAAACCTTATTTAGTCGTATTTAGAGTTTAATATTGTGCTTTATGAATGTGTACACCTAACCCTAAACCCGACCTCACAGTAACCTGATAAACCCAACCTACTTGTGGTTTGAGTCCCTCCCACTTGGAGGCCAACCAACCTACTTGCGGTGTAATGCCTCCCACTTGCAGGTCTCCGGGCTGCAGCGATACCTACTTGGACTCATTTTGGTGTTTCAGTGCTTAAGCGTGTGTGTCCTGCAGGGGGCAGCATCTGCTCAAATATACCTTTGAGATGTTGTGAAATTTTACTCAACTCACTACAATAATTCCAAAGCATCTGTTCTGAATTATATCTTTAATACTTATTAGTTTGTGGCTATACATCTTTATTTCACAGCTACACTGACATGGTAAACAGATGTGAACGAATGAAGGAAATATTCTCCTGCACTGTAAACAATATCTGTTAATGAACAGTTAACGGTGTGATTTGGGTTTATTTGCGGTAGTGACTTGCATTATGGGATGCTGATCTCTGCTCCACTTCTGATGTTGAAAATTCTAAACTACAGTTTAATAATGTTAATTTTAATGACATTTTAGTTTTTTGAATATAATATAAGAAACATTATGTAGAGGAATAAGTGTGTGAAATAACAGGAGATGTGTTGCAGTTTATTACAAGGTGTTTGTAGCGTAATATACAACACCAACACACACAATATAGCCCTGCAGACTGTTACACAAGAGCAGAAAACACACTTTTTACAACTACTCAAGGTTAAAAGTTATTGGAAGAAAGATCAAGATCCCATTATGCAACTTAAAAGCAGAAATAAATGGGGGAAAATAAAAACATTAATCACAAAATACAGAAAACTGCTCATTTCTGGGTATTTTTACAGTGTATAGTGTGTTGTACCTGCGGTTGAGCTGCTCCATCTGGTGTGTGGACCCTGATCTCTGCATGCCGGTGCGCTTGGCTGCATGAATGGGTCTCTGCCATGTTGTTGTCCGGTTTACATGATCCACGTAAAAAACACGACCGTGACTGTCCACACGCGCCTCCCAATCTGTGCACAAACACACACACACATCATCCACTGTCCTCCTGTGGAGATCTGAATTCTTCCTCGTTTATCTCCCAAGTGCTGTTTAACAGAGCAAGACATTTTTTCCACATTATTTCCTATTCCCAGTAGGCAGTGCTGTCGCCTCACAGCAATAAGGTCTCTTGTTCGAGCCTCGGCTGGGTCAGTTGGCATTTCTCTGTGTGGAGTTTGCATGTTCTCCCCGTGTTGGCGTGGGTTTTCTCCGGCTGCTCCGGTTTCCCTCACAGTCCAAACACATGCAGTACAGGTGAATTGGGTAGGCTAAATTGTCTGTAGTGTATGAGTGTGAATGAGTGTGTTTCCCAGAGATGGGCTGCGGCTGGAAGGGCATCCGCTGTGTAAAAACATGCTGGATAAGTTGGCGGTTCATTCCGCTGTGGCGACCCCGGATTAATAAAGGAACTAAGCCTTAAAGAAAATGAATGAATGAATGAAATACGGAAAACCGCTAATGTACAGATATTTTTACAGCACAAAAGTGCAAAGTTTCAACACTTCTGAGCATGCACAGGTGATCCATTATTGACTTTTGCATGAACATCAAGGAATTTATTGTCTAAATATTTGTGTATTGTTATCAGCTCAATGTGCAGTTCAACTAAATGTGCATATCATGATTCAATGCACACGCTGAGGTTCACCATCCAGTGTGTTTTATGCAGTATTCCAAAATACACATCAAAACATGTGGATGGAGACAAAGCAAATGAGATGACACACACACACACACACACACACAAACACACACACACAAACACGCACACTCACACACACTTGCATGCTAATGAAGGTAAACACATGTCAACAGCACAAGCCAGGGTCAGATGTGATTGAGGAAAGCTTACTTGGTGGTAATGGTTGATCAACACTGGGGTAATGATGGGGATCAGGCCGCAAAGCAGGAGTCTGAGTGATTGCATGATGACTGCAGTGCAAATGAAAACTGCCTACAAACAAATCACAACACACACCCGTGACTTATGACGAGTGCCATAAATCAGCGCTGATATACTGGAAGCGGGAACTGTCCTGCCAGTGTCACAGAAGCAAGTCAATACAATGAAGTACATGAAATCTCTGGATATACAGTTGATTAATTCAGTGGGAACAGTCGGGTCGGGAAGAGAACTGTTCTAATATGACAGCGGGTAAAAAAAAAAACCTAATAAATAATAATTAAGCAGCAGGAGCAATCAGGTGTGGAATAAAACCCAGCATGAGCGGGACTGAAAAAACAGTCCTGTGCAGACCACTAGACCAGGGGTGGCCAATCCTGTTCCTGGAGAGCCACCTTCCTGCAGATTTCAGTTGCAACCCATATCAAACACACCTGCCTGTAATTATCACGTGGTGTTCAGGTCCTAATTAATTGGTTCAGGTGTGTTCGATATGGGTAGCAACTGAAATCTGCAGGAAGTTGGGTCTCCAGGAACAGGGTTGGCCACCCCTGCTCTAGACTGTAGGTCTGGGTCCGTATTGAACGGCTTCTAGGTCCGGTTTGCGTGTTAGTGACCCTAACCCATCCCAATTTTGCAAGGCACAATTCAGAAAAGGCTCCTCACCTGTTTGCCGAACTCAAGATCTGGGTCCTTATGGGAAAGCTTCTGGGTCCGGTTGACCTGTTAGTGACCATTGCCTTAACCCATCCTCCCATTATTGATCTTTTAGCAATGCACAGCAGGACAGAAATAAAAAAAAACAGTCCCAAGCAGACCTCTAGGCCAGGGGTGTCCATTCCTGTTCCTGGAGATCAACCTTCCCGCAGAGTTCAACTCCAACGCTGATCAAACACAACCAACTAAGCAGGATCTGAAGGAGCACTTGGTGATTACAGACAGGTGTGTTTGACCAAGGTTGCAGATGAACTCTGCAGAAAGGTAGACCTGGGAAACAGGATTGGGCTCCATGCTAAGGCTGTAGGAGTGGGTTCTGGGTCGGCAATTGAACCGTGGTTCTCCTGTTAGTTACCACTCCCCTAACCCATACCAGTTTTTATCTTTCAGGAATGCATAATCTAGAAAAGTCTCCTCCCCTGATGACCTAACCCTGGGTCCAGCCACAGGCGAGTGCTCTAGACCAGGGATGGGCAAACTTAATACTGGAGGGCGTGTGTCCTACATAGTTTTGCTCCAACGCTTATCAAACACACATGCTTTCTAGTGATTTAAGTCACTGATTAGTTTGTTCAGGTGTGTTTGATTAGTGTTGGAGAAAACTCTGCAGGGACACCGGCCCTCGAGGATCAAGTATGGCTATCCTTGCTATAGACTGTAGGTATAAGTCCGTGTGGAATGGCTTCTGGGTCCAGTTCACCTGTTAGTGGCCCTAACCCATCCCATTTTTGACCTTTCAGCAATGCACAATTCTTACAAGTCATCTCACCTGTTGTCTGAACACAAGATCTGGGTCCTTTTGGGAAAGCCTCTGGGTCTGGTTGACCTGATAGTGAACATTTCCTTAACCCATCCCCATTATTAAACTTTTAGCAATGCACAGCAAGACTGAAATAAAAAAAAACAGTCCCGAGCAGACCTCTAGGCCAGGGGTGTCCAATCCTGTTCCTAGAGATCTACATGGAGTTCAGCTCCAACCCTGATCAAACACAACTAAACCAACCAAGCAGGATCTGGAGGAGCACTTGGTGATTACAGACAGGTGTGTTTGATCAAGGTTGCAGATGAACTCTGCAGGAAGGCAGATCTCCAAGAACTGGATTGAGCTGCCCTGCTCTAGGCTGTAGGTCTGGGTCCATATGGGGTGGCTTCTGGGTCTGCACCCAAACTGCATTCTGACCTGTTAGTGGCCCTAACCCATCCCATTTTTATCCAATCAGCAATGCACAATTCAGAAAAGCCTCCTCACCTGTTGGCCGAACACTAGGTCCCGCCACAGGCGACTCATCCACCTCCGCGTCCCCCAGAGGACTCTCTTCTGAAGAAGACTCCCTCCACTGGACCGAGCCTCCGCCTGGCTCCCGCACATCTGGGCTCCGCATGGAGTCTGACACCGACTCAAACGCGCTGTTTTCCTCCTCCTCTTCCTCTTGCGAAGAGAAAACCGTGCTCTCCGACAGGCGGGTGCTGTCCACCGAGGACAGGCGTGTGTGGCTGCACAGCCGGTTTCGGCCCTCGTAACCCGAGTTTGTGCTGTAACACGAGGTGCTGTAACAGGACGTGCTGTAACATGACGTACTATAGCAGGAGTTATCACAAAATTCACACTCGCTTTCCCGAGGCTCCCTTCTTCTTCCCGAATCCCCGTCTTCACTGTATATCCGGAGGGTGGACGGAGACGGTCTTTCTCCCTCCAGAAGCTGGTTGAGTTCAGAAAGACGCTCGATTGAGAGGCTACGTGGTAAAATTCGCCTGCAACACGGTCTCGGACACTCAGGAACAACTGACGGAGACTGAGCTTCGGATACCTCATCTTCGTCTTCTTTATCTTCTTGAGGTTTGATCGTGATTTCTTCTGAAGATTCGGGATCAGGTGCATCTTCCTCTTCATCTCGGTGGCACTGAGCTGACGGCAGACTGTGGAGTAGATGATGAATGCGGATGTAATGAGAGCGCGGCGTTTCGGGTTCTTCACACGTCGAGGCGATAACCGTCTCTAATTCAGATACTGGAAGCGAGCACGGTCGATTCTTGCGCTTTAACTGAACTCGTACCCTTGGGGAACATTCATTATCTCCGTCTACCATTAGATCCACCTGTTCAGAGCTTGTTTCTACTTCATGCTCTTCATTTACTCCATCAGTATGTTCAGCATCACGGTTGTCCAGTACTTCCGATGGAGTCTCAGCCATAGTTTCTTCCAGCGTCTCTCCATGATCCCCCATTATACCAGTGTCTTGTTCTGCAGTTTCTCCAAGAGTTGTATCATTCATTGGTGTATCTCCTTGAGCTGTAACCATCTCCTCATCTGCTTCGGGTTGGGTTTCCTTACTGGGTTCTGATAGAGATGTAAGCTGAACATCAACATCATCCCGCATCTCGATTTCTGGAGGACATTCGGGTGGAGGCTCGGGAACGTCTAGACTCAATGCATCCTCCATTGGTGGATCAGAAGCTGGTGGTGGATCTTCAACTGGCTCCGGATCTGTCTGCTGGTCTGGCTCCGCATCAAAGACTGGCATTGCATTGAGAGACACTTCCTCATCATCTATCAGAGAGAATGAGTAGATCTGTCAATATTGGTAAAGGGGTGAGGTAAGAATTAACACAAGAGTAGCTATAATTAGTACATCTGTGGCTATATTTAGTACAAAAATTAAGCATTTGTGCGAGTAAATTACATATAAAGACAATGCAGATGCATGAAAATAGGCGAATTATTGCAGTGGCACAAATTACATGGAATGTGCAGCGTGTTTGCCGGTCATGCACCAAATTCACCTTAATCACATCTACCGTGCAACTTAAAATAATTGAAAAACACCCCTGGAGTAATGTGGTGCTTCCCGCTTGGTGTGTTTGTAATGCATTAATAATACAAATTCGAAACACTGTAATAAAAACTATTAAATACTAGTCTCTTTTAAAGGCACAGGGTGTCTTTTTTGCCACTAGAGGGCGTGTATTCACAACAAACAAAGGCGTATTTTGATGATACTCTGTGCGGTCACACAACAAATAAAGCCTCACTGCTGTTTCCCTGTTTTACAAACTGGAAATCGAGAGTGTGTGACGTCATTAGCATGAACACGCAGCGCATCTCACTAGATGAAACTGATGATTTCTCTGGATTTGAACATTTGAACAAACATTGCAGATAATAAGTGCATAAGTCAGCAAATATTTAACACCATTGTAGTGTTTTTTAGATATTTGTTAGATATTCTTACATATTGTGCTTATAAATAATCAAATAACAAAAGAATCTTGGGATTTGTACTGTTGGTTTTGCCTTTTCTTGTGAGTTTTTGTCTTGTTTCTACTGTAAATATCTAAAAATTCTTAAATCATGAAGCATTTTCTAGACAAGCAAAACATATTGTCATGTTTCCAGTAATGATGAGTCAAAACTAAGAGAGTTTTTCCTAAAATAATCAAATAATCTGCCGATGGGGCAAGGAAAAACTCTTCATTTGGACTTATTTCTGAAAACATGACAATATTTTTGCTTGTTAAGAAAATGTTTCTCGATTTAAAAATGTTTAGACTTTTAGACTAGAAACAAGACAAAAACTCTAAGCTAGAAAAGCAGTAAACATTAATAAATAGTAGTAGTGCAGTGTAATAGAAGTGTAGCAATAGTAAAGATCCTTCAGACCTGGATGGATTGATGAAGTTATCTCGAAGCGAAACTGCAGCTGGCCGCTGACATGATCTGTTGGAAGCCGCCGACCTAAAGTGTAGCTCACCACACGGTCCCTGATTACAGCAGAAACACAAGGAAGCTTGACATTATAAAAACCAACAGGCAAATAACTATAACAGCCACACTAAAATCCAAAATACATTCACAGTATGCACCATTGGTCAACATAAAAAAGAAACTGATATTTTTAAGCATTAACAATAATTCAATTGATGAAGGAAACATGAAGAGTTTGTTTTAATGAACATTTTCAAGCTTAAGGTTGTTTAATACACTGTAAAAAACGCAATTAATGCATGCTTTTCTAACAAAAATCGATTAGGTTCACAATGGATAATTAATACATTTTGAGTGTGAGCTCGTATCCGTAATGTCATGTAAATGCATTAACCAGATTTATTTTAATGATTAAAGGTCAGAAACTGTAGTCAGATCAGATCAAAAATAAAACATTTATAAAATATAATTTAGACATCAACAACACAACTCACATTTATAAAATCCCAAATTGATAATTCAAACCAAGACTCATAAATACACAAATCCAATTCGTAAATTCAAAACAGGACTCGTAAGTACACAAATCCAATTTGTAAATTCAAGAATCAATTCGTAAATACACAAATCCAATTTGTGAGTTCAAAAACACGATTCGGTTAAGCACAAATTCAATTCGCAAATTCAAAACACGACTCGAAATTACACAATTCCAAATCGTTAATTCAAAATACGATTCGTAAACACACAAATCCAATTTGCTAATTCAGAACACGATTTAAAAATACACAAATCCAAATTGTAAATTCAAACCATGATTCGTTAATTCACAACTCCAATTCGTAAGCTCAAAACATGATTTGGCGAAAATAATTATGATTTTACCTGCAAATTCACAAATTGTGTGTTGTATTTGTGAATTGTGCTATGAATTTACAATGTGGCTTTTGTACAGCTAGTTGTGCTCTGCATGTATGCATTTATTTTTGTTTATGTATTATTTTTGAGACTGATCTGGCTTCATAAAAAACTGCTTACAATAGAATCAGAACAGGTCGTTTTTTCCCAACACCCCAAATCTGTGCTCTGTAAATGCCTTTAAATTGCAGTTTATTCATGTGCAGATGTCTGACTGTAAACAAGGTAAAAGAAACTTTAAGACAGACAAGTATTTTTGCAGTGATACATGCACAAAATAAGTGGAGAACTATCAAAAATCAGATTTCAGGGCTCCCATGGGTTATCACAGTCATTGAAAAGGTCTATTACAGACATTGAAAGTCAGGGAATTAAAAACAAATGTGTTTGCCCAATCAAGTAACACCAGTGATTTAGATTTTTCTATTGAAATTTTAGTTTCTGTTTATCAAAATGTAATTTCTCTATACCTTATTTATTGCTTATTTCACACCTATTGTTAAGATTATTGTGCTCGTTAACTAAGGCTAACATCTCAGGATAATATACATCTTAATTATTTGCACTCAAATGTACAATAGCATCAGCAGACTGCTAAACAAGTCAAGAGTGTCTCAGTCAGATAATCAGTAGAGTAAATGATCAGTAGTTTGTGTGCAAATGCAGAGGTTTACCCGATGGCGTGTTTCTCCAGCAGCCTCTGCACCGGCACCACCAGCTTCCCCAGAAAGCGTTTAATAATGGGTCGACTCTTCGCAAACTTATCTTTAACCTCGATCTCCAAAACATCCGTCGGCAGCGACACAAAGTTAAACCGCTGTCAATGAGAACACAAAAACACGACCGCTCAGCTTTAAATACACAAACACACTGCCTAAGAGTTATACTGCATGAACTACACCAGTAACACTTTAGTTTAGGTCACAATACACGATATTAACTACTGGCTTATTACAGCACATGCCTATTATCAAGATATTAAATGTTCATAATTATATGATCTTATTCTGCATCCGCAATCCTATTCAAATCTTAAACATATCTGACTCATTATTAATAAAGAGCTAATTAGCAGATTATTAAGCTAGTAGTGTTAGTTAATGGTTAGTTAATACCGTGAACTCTGACCTAAACTACAGTGTTACCTTACATTTTACTTGATTTAGTCGGTCATGCTTCATAATAAGGTTGCATTAGTCAATGTTTATTTAATATACTTACTAACACGAATGTAAAAAGCATAGGTGGACATTTACTAATGATGATTAAAATCAAAATGCACTGTGAACTAACAATGAATGACTTTAATGTTAACAACGATGAATATAAACTGTAATGAATGTATTGTTCATGTTAGTAAATACATTAACATTAACTAATGCAGCCTTACTGTAAAGTGTTACCAACTAGTCTGACTTTAAAGCAGGGGTCACCAATCTCGGTCCCTGCTGAGCTAAGCTCCAACTTGCCTCAATACAACCACCTAGTATACCTAGTAAGACCTTGATTAGCTTGTTCAGGTGTGTTTGATTAGGGTTGGAGCTAAAATCTGCAGGACACCGGCCCTCCAGGAACAAGGTTGGTGACCCCTGCCTTAAAGGGTCAGTTCACGCAAAAATGTAAATGCTGTCATGATTTTAAAGGTCCTGAGAATTGCTTTAAAATGTGCTTAGTCTCTTATTAATCCGGGCTCACCACAGCGGAATGAACTGTCAACTATTCCAGCATATGTTTTATGCTGAGGATGCTCTTCCAGCTGCAACGCAGTACTGGGAAACACCCATACACACTCATTCACAGCGCATGTGTTTGGATTGTGGGGGAAACCGGAGCACCCAGAGGAAATCTATGCCAACATGCAAACTCCACCAAGAACAGGGACTCGAACCAGACCTTCTTGCTCTTAGACAGGGGTGTCAAACTCAATTCCTGGAGGGCCGAAGCCCTGCACAGTTTAGTTCCAACCCTGCTCCAACACACTTACCTGTAGGTTTCAAACAAGCCTGAAGGACTCAATTAGTTTGATCAGGTGTGTTTAATTAGGGTTGGAACTAAACTGTGCAGAGCTGCGGCCCTTTTGGAACTGAGTTTGACACCTGTGCTCTAAGGCAACAGTGCTAAGCACTGAGCCACCATGCCGCCCACATCTAAGTAAAATATTTTAATTTCATAGGACCTTTAAAAGCATGACACAGTCACAGGGCTCAGAGGAAAATGCTAAAGTATAATACAAACTCAACATTGCAGATTCTGTGATGTGATTATTGTGACTGGTCATGATATCGATGCTGATATGATGTACAAGTAAGGGATACAGCTTGTTTCCGTTTAGAGATGCTGCATCCTGGCTGGAGTCCACAGTAAATCTGCAGTGTGTTTATGGCAGAACACAACTAGACTGTTTTCTTCTCTGTGAACCAAAGCGTCACGATTTTTGCTCAAGGAGAAACAAAGGACTTTTAGTTTTACAACCATTGCTGTACAAACCCAAACCCAGCAGCTTCTCAAATCACAGTTATATTGTTTTTTTTTTATAATTATATATATATATATATATATATATATATATATATATATATATATATATATATATATATATATATATATATATATATATATATATATATATATGTGTGTGTGTGTGTTTGTGTGTGTGTGTGTGTGTATACATTTTTCCACTGTATCTGACACAGTTGGGAAGGAGTAGAGAGAAAGGATGTTAAAAATGACTGATAAGATTTGTAAACTGATGGTACAGATGAATCATTGAAGAAAACACAGAGTGTGGTAGTGTGAAAGTGACTGACCTCTCTCTTCCAGACGGGGCTGATGGTGTTGCAGGCGATGCTAGAGCGTTTCTCCTGGCCGTGGTGTGGAAGCGCAGGGTACAGACTCTGCTTTCCAGGCTGGATGGAGATCTTCAGATACGGGTCTGGATTAAAGAACATCCCCTTCTTCAGACCCACCGCCTGCACGTCTGGAACACAGAACAACAGCAATTAAAAGTGAAATTTGTATTTCTTTCCATTAGACAAAAAAAAAAAAAAAAACATCTTTATAAAAACACCAAAAGGCAAAAAAAATATTATAAATTATTTGTAATAATCAAAATGCATTATTATTATTATTATTATTATTTATTATAATTATTTTATTTATTGTTATCATTATTGTTATTATTTATTATTCATTATTATGATTATTATTGTTATTATTATTTATTATAATTATCATTGATATAATTATTATTATTTACAGTTTTTTATAATTATTTATTTATTATTATCATTTATTAATTATATTTATTATTATCATTATCTATTTATTATTATTATTAGCATTATTATTAGCATTATCATTATTATTTATTGCTTTTATTATTGTTATTATTATTATGAATTTATTTATTTATTAATATGTAATATTATTATTATTATTATTATTATTATTATTATTATTATTTTGTCCCTTAAAATTCAGATGTAGGCTGAACATCCATCATAATATGTTTTTTTTTTTTCCATCTGTCTGCATGTTCTTTCTTTTCTATTTTTATACCCCGTGTCATTGCACTTTTATAACCATTCACAATAAAAGCAAAAAGTTTTAAAGGCTAAAGCAGTAAAGTCTGCGTGTGGGAATATAAAGAGAAATGCAGGAACTCTCCGGATCCCACGGGATCTAATTATGTCCATCAGTTTCCAGACGGCAGACAGAGACGCTTTACTGTAACGTCATCATCTCTGACTGAGGCATTCATGTGCTTTTAACAGTGTGTGATGCAGTTTACAGGGACGGGACCGCAGAGGTTTAGTTTTTTGTTTTTTGTGAAATGTCCCTTTAGGAAGATTTTTTTAAAAATGTGTAAATACAGTGGATTTTTGTGCAGATAAAAATAAAAAAAATAAAAATAAATCTTAAATTTTGCCTTTATCTTTTAAAAATTTTAGAAATAACCAATGACACGTAATAAAATAAGGAATGTAAACTACAAACATAAATATGAAATAAAATTGTAAATGAACAAAAATTAAATGAATTTACTCAACAGCCGCAGCTTCGTTCATGTTGTGGAAAGGATGATGAAGGAGAGGAACTGATGATTAAGGGGAGGAGCTGATTATTAAGGGGAGGAGCTGATGATGAAGAGGAGGAGTTGATGATGAACGGGAAGAGCTGATGTGGGAAGTAGAGGAGATGATGTTGAAGAAGGAGAAGATGATGATGAAGGGGAGGAGTTAATGAAGATAAAGGGGAGGAGCTTATGATAAAGTGGAAGAATTGAAGGGGAGGAGTTGATGAAGAAGTGGAGGAGTTGATGATAATAAAGGGGAGGAGTTGATGAAGGGGTGGAGTTGATGATGATAAAGGAGAGGAGTTGATAAAAAAGTGGAGGAGTTGATGATGATGGGAGGAGTTGGCTAGGAAATATTCATTAATGGGAGGAGTTGATGATGACGAAGGGGAGCTGATGATGGAGGAGAAGAGCTGTTGATTAAATGGAGGACCTAACGTTAAAGAGGAAGGGCTGATGATGAAAGGGATGAGCTAAAGATGATGAAGGGAGGAGTTGAAGGAGAGGGGCTGATTATGAAGAAAAGGAGTTGATGGTGAGAGGGAGGGGTTGATAATAAATAGGAGGAGCTGATTATGATAAAGAGGAGAGGCTGATGATTCAGGGAAGGAGCTAGGAATCAAGGGGATGGGTTGATGATGATGAAGGAGAGGGGCTGATGATGATGGGGAGGAGTTGATGATGATGGGGAGGAGTTGAGTAGGAGTTGATCATTAGTGGGAGGAGTTGATTAAGAAGGGGAGGAGTTGATGATGACGAAGGGGAGCTGATGATGGAGAAGAGCTGTTGAAGTGGAGGACCTAATGTTAAAGAGGAAGGGCTAATAATGAAAGGGAGGAGCTAAAGATGATGAAAGGAGGAGTTAATGAAGGGGAGGGATGATTATGAAGGAAAGGAGTAAATGGTAAAGGGGAGGGGCTGATATTTCAGGGGAGAAGCTAATGATCAAGGGGAGGAGCTGATGATGAAAGGGAGGAGCTGATGATGAAGATGAGGAGCTGCTGATGAAGAAGAGGAGGAGCTGCTGATGATGAAGGGGAGGAGCTGATGATGAAGATGAGGAGCTGCTAATGAAGAAGAGGAGGAGCTGCCGATGATGAAGGGGAGGAGCTGATGATGAAGGGGAGGAGCTGATGATGACGGGGAGGGATTGGGTAGGAGTTGATCATTAATGGGAGGAGTTGGTGATGAAGAAAATTTGCATAGCGTGTAGTTAGGGACGTAACGTTTACTATGATAAAGCATGTTACATGAATGATTGATTTGCAGGATTACATAACAAGAGCAAAAGGCTTCTAAAAGAAACAAATGCGGTTGCTTTATAATAACTTCATAGTGTTTTCACAATCGCTGGAGGCCAAAATAAAAAGCAGTAACAGTATGCTCTTGCACACCTCTTGTCATTATATAATCTTTGATTACGGTGGATCAGGAGCTCTACACACTCTGCAAACTCTTTCAATAAAGAGAACCGGCTCTAGTCATCAGTCCACAAACATCTCTGGGCTAAAAGAGCTCCTGTTTTCATCTCTTCAGGGAATATCTGAGGAGATTCTGTAGATCTGGCCCTTCAGTGGAGCCACTAATGCGCATATATTTATATCAGCATGTCAGATGGAGCTTGAGCTCGCAGCAGGAGACGCGGCATGAATAAAACATACAGCGCTGGGGAGTCCTGAACGCTTCAGTCAAATATAATGGAGAAAAAACAGAGAAATAGAGAACGAGCGGAAGAAACATGAGGATAAAATAAGACAACCTTCATGCTTTCATAAAGAGTCGTGTAAAGCTGTTTGGGATACTGGGCTCATAATGTTTTACTCAGTGCTTAAAGAGAATCCTGAGCAACATTTAAAGCTCCACATGTTAAGATGTTTGTGCTATGATGAAACTGAGAGAAAAGTCACGGCAAACCACCAGCCATTTATTTATGTACATCAGACGTCTAATAGACATCCAAACATAGATGTCTGGCCTAAATCAAGGCTGAATTTGAGCACTGCATGTGTAAACGTACAGTCAATAGAATGGTCTTGCCTCTAAATAAACATAAATATAAACACAGCACTGTATATAACTGCACATTCATAAACCGACATGCTCTGGCATTAGCCGAGGCTGTGGAAGCATGACTGCAGGCCTTCGTTTTTAATTGCACCTCATTCCATTAGCTTTCATTCCATTCTCTTGTTTATTAAACAGAAGATTTACCAACAAAAATGCATTAATATTCTAATCAAAATGATATCAAGTGAAGCTGGTCATAAGACAATAATCTATAACAGTCTAATAATAGTCTGTGTTGGTCAAATAACCCACTGATAATCATTTTAAAGAATCATGATTACAATTATCATCAGATTTCCCCTGCTAGATTTTAAAACTAAGGCTGCATTTTTCCATACTATATAGTATGCTAAAATCAGTATGCGAGCCGAGTAGTATGTCTGAATTCATAGCATTGTAAAAACAGTATGCGAGAAGTTCCCAGATGACCTACTACCTCCGGTGAGATTCTGAAGTGTGCATCTGATGGACGCTACGCTATCCCATAATGCACCGTTAGAGAATTCATGCATGGGAGTGAAGTGACTGTAGTAGGTAATCTTGGATGCAGCCTAAGACTCAATCAAAATCTGCATTAGAAGTGTTGGACTCACCGGAGAGGGAGAAGCTGATGAGTCTCCTGCTGCCCAGAGACTGAGGGAGATCCGGACTGATGACCGGCTTCAGCGCCTGATGGACACACACAAACAGAAATTCACAGGGGAACTAGAAGAGACTCCACTCAGGAAATGTCTCCTATGTTTCTCCATGTCTGGTCCACTAGAAATTAAATGTTGTTCACTCACATTGCTGGTTTTGTGGTGAACAATTCATCCGTGCATGTCATTAAGAATGATAGATATGAGTGTATCCCTGTAATCTTTAATTGAAATCTGTCTGTTCAGTTCTCAGATTAGTATCTAAGGTGTTGGGCGTGGCTAACACACTTAACCACGCCCATTCCAGCTGTCAATCTTGACAACAAACAGAAATGGTGAGGAGGAGGAGTCTGTTAGGCTGTAATAACTCCCCCTTTCCCCATCTTTCCGAATGACACACCCACTTTACTACATCCAATCAGCTCGCAGTAGAAAAAAAAAACAAGCCACTCCCACTGCTTTCTCATTTAATATTCCCTTCTGCATCACAATACGCAAAACTGGTCGCAGTTTCCGGTTGTTTAAAGGCCATTACAGACTCGGATGTCCAATCAATAACATGCATTCATTAGGACTGCATTGATTCTGCATCCAGGAAGAGGAAGCAGAAGCAGAGGCTCATGGGACGCCACTTCTCCGAAGAGCAAAAACTGATAGTGATGCTATTAGTGAAACAACCCAGAGCTGACGCAAACATGTGCAATGTGTAAACTGAGCAAGTATTCAAAGCAACATTACTAAACATAGTGGATTGCAGTGTAAAAACACCACATGATGGCAACAATGTGTATCTACATGCAACAATATACAGTGATCAGCAGAGATGAGTGAATATGAATGTGTTTATCCACTTCCTAGTGAATATATGCATGTTTAAAACAGATATATTTATTAAAGTCATGTTAGTCACTGAACCTCCTCAGAAATAAAAACATAATACATTTATATTAAAGCAATATCATGCAAAAATTATAATAACAAGCTACAAAAATTCTTATATATTTTTTTGTTTCTCTTGATTTTTGCTCTTTTTAAAATTGTTATGTAAAGTTTTTCCTTTACATACAGTAATTTTGGACCATCATCGCAAGTTATTTTGTTTTTTAGCTCCACTTTGATACTGATATGTCAGTAGCAGTAGTGACTTATCTAATGTATATGCACAAATATACATATACAAGAAAATATACATTTAAGACATCTATACATAAGAAATCTGTGAGGGGAGAATCATATGTGCCGAGCACTGTATGTCACCCAAAGGGTCAATTTACTTTTTCTGTAAAAAGCTAAAAGAAAAAATGTAAATGAGCTTGAGCATTGCTTTGGACCCCCCCAAAAAATATCCCCCCACCCCCACAATAAATAAATAATTAGATAATAATAAAAAAATTATAATAAAATATATATAATACATATATATATATATAATACAAAATATCCTTTTTACCTTATTTTTTATTTTTACATTATGTATTATGTAATTATTATTATTATTTACACCGTGAAAGGTAAGTAGGGTCCAAAACAACACTGAAGCCCATTAACATACATTTCATGAAGAAAAATCTATATTTTTGTAATGCATTATGTATATATCAGTATATATTATAGACACATACATATAGATACATACACTCACCGCCCATTTTTATAGGTACACCTTACTAGCATCGGGTTGGACCTCTTTTGCCTTCAGATCTGCCTTAATCCTTCATGGCAGAGATTCAACAAGCTGCTGGAAATATTCCTCAGAGATTTTGCTCCATATTGTCATGATAGCATCACACAGTTGCTGCAGATTTGTCGGCTGCACATCCATGATGCCAATCTCCCGTTCCACCACATCCCAAAGCTGCTCTATTGGATTGAGCTCTGGTGACTGTGGAGGCCATTTGAGTACAGTGAACTCATCGTCATGTTCAAGAAAGCAGTCTGAGATAATTGAGCTTTATGACATGCTGCGTTATCCTGCTGGAAGTAGCCATCAGAAGATGGAGACACTGTGCTCATAAAGGGATGGACATGGTCAGCAGCAATACTCAGGTAGGCTGTGGCGTTGATGCTCAATTGGTACTAATGGACCCAAAGAAAATCTCCCCCACACCATTACACCACCACCACCAGCCTGAACCGCTGATACAAGGCAGGATGATCCATGCTTTCATGTTGTCTGAGCCGAGCATCTGAATGTGTCAGCAGAAATGGAGACTCATCAGAGCAGCAACGTTTCTCCAATCTTCTATTGTCCAGTTTTGGTGAGTCTGTGTGAATTGTAGCCTCAGTTTCCTGTTCTTAGCTGACAGGAGCGGCACCCGGTGTGCTCTTCTGCTGCTGTAGCCCATCCGCCTCAAGGTTGGACGTGTTGTGTGTTCAGAGATGCTCTTCTGCAGAGCTCGGTTGCTTATTTGAGTTACTGTTGCCTTTCTATCAGCTGGAACCAGTCTGGCCATTCTCCTCTGACCTCTGGCCTCATCAACAAGGCATTTGCGCCCACAGAACTGCCGCTCACTGGATATTTCCTCTTTGTCGGAGCATTCTCTGTAAACCCTAGAGATGGTTGTGTGTGAAAATCCCAGTAGATCAGCAGTTTCTGAAATACTCAGAGCAGCTCGTCTGGCAGCAACAACCATGCCACGTTCAAAGTCTCTTAAATCCCCTTTCTTCCTCATTCTGATGCTCGCTTTGACCTGCAGCAGATCGTCTCAACCATGACTACATGCCTAAATGCGTTGAGTTGCTGCCATGTGATTGGCTGATTAGAAATTTGTGGTAATGAGCAGTTAGACAGGTGTACCTAATAAAGTGGCCGGTGAGTGTATATGGACACTTCCTCATCTCAGTCTACTATAAACTCTATAAATCCCTTTAACAGACATGTACAGAAAACCGACTCAAAACCCCCTCCAGAAAGTAAAGAGACAAACAGCCGGCAGAAACAAAAGCAGAGCAGGTGTTTGGAGTCTTTTAGGCCCAAATGAGATGCAAATCCCGTCCTCTTGACCGTCAAAATGAAAGCGGCGTTTCCCAGATTACCCAAAAGCACAGACAGATTAAACAGATCCGCAGGAGGCTCCTAATTCCAGACCTCCAATCAAATCAATGAGTTTGAGCTGTGCTGAGGGCGGATCTGGCACCAGCAGACTGACCTGAGGCCCGGACAACAAATCCAGCTTCATCCCGTCTGCTCGATGTGCTGCTGCATGCTTTATTAATCACTGATTGCACATGAGTAGGGACTGTTAGTGGAGCACTACTCTAGGGGATCGGCAGGGAGTATTTGTGTGGTTGCTAGGGTGGTTTGATTTGTTGTCTGTTGCCAGGTGGTTGTAAGGGTGTTTTAGGTTGTTTCAAGGGAATTGCCAGTATCTTAGTGGTTGCTAAGGTGAATTGATTAGGTGTCAGTATGTTTCTAGGTGGTTGTTAGGATGTTGGTGGCTTCAAGGGGGTTGCCAGGAAGTGTCTTAATGGTTGCTAAGGTGAATTGAATAGTTTTTAGTTTGTTGCAACAGTAGGCTGTTGTTGGGGTGTTCTAGATGGCTTCAAGGGGGTTACTAGGGAGTATCTTAGTGGTTGCTAAGGTGATTTGACTTGTTGTTAGGCTGTTGATAGGTGGTTGTTAGATTTGTTGTTAGGCTATTGATAGGTGGTTGTTAGGGTGTGCTAAGTGGCTTAGACAGCGTTGCCAAGGAGTATCTTAGTGGTTGCTAAGGTGAGTTGAGCAATTGGCAGTCTGTTGCTAGGTGGTTGTAAGAGTATTGTAGGTGATTTCAAAAGGGTTGCAAAGGAGCGTCTTAGTGGTTGCTAAGATGATTTGGTTTGTTGTCAGTCTGTTGCTAGGTGGTTTTTAGAGTGAGCAAAGTGGCTTCAATAGGGTTGCCATAGAGTATCTTAGTGGTTGCTAAGGTGAATTGAGTTATTGGCAGTTGCTGGGTGGTGGTTAGGGTGTGCTAAGTGGCTTAGAGAGGGCTTCCAGGGTGTATATGAGTGGTTGTTAAGGTGAATTGATTTGTTGTCGGTCTGTTGCTAGGAGGTTGAAAGGATGTGCTAAGTGGCTTCAAGAAGGTTGCCAGGACGTATGTAAGTGGTTGCTAAGGAAATTTAATTTGTTGTCAGTCCATTGCTAGGTGGTTGTAAGGGTATTCTAGGTGTTTTCAAGGGGTTGCAAATGAGTGTCTTAGTGGTTGCTAAGATGATTTGGTTTGTTGTCAGTCTATTGCTAGGTGGTTTTTAGAGTGTGCAAAGTGGCTTCAATGGGGTTGCCATGGAGTATCTTAGTGGTTGCTAAGGTGAATTGAGTTATTGCCAGTTGCTGGGTGGTGGTTAGGGTGTGCTAAGTGGCTTAGAGGGTGTTTTCAGAGAGTATCTTAGTGGTTGCTAAGGTGAATTTATTTGCTGTCAATCTGTTGCTGGGAGGTTGTTAGGGTGTTCTAGGTGGCTTCAATGGGGTTACCAGAGAGAATCTGGGTAGTTACTAAGGTGAATTGATTGACTGTCAGTCTGGCTCTCATGAACATAAACGAAAAACCGAAACTAAGGAATTAAAAGGAAAGAGCACCGTGTATAAATGGCTTCATTAATGCAGCAGCTTCCCAAAAGATAAAGATGAAAAAGTCCCACAGATGCAGTTCTTATTCAGAATCCCCGACGGCAGCTCTCCTCCTGCCTGGTGTATATTGCATTACTCTGAAACTACACACTATGCACAAAACAGTTCAGAAAGCGCTCAGCCATCCATCATGTCAAACTAAACCACAGCGCTCTCCCTCTGTGCGACACACACTTCAGATTCAGACGCAGAAATCACTGTTCTCTTTCATCTGCATCAATTCCACATGACGGCGGAGGAACAGAGACTTTCTGCTGACTACATCAACACAGTCATCTGATACTGAAGGACAGAGTGAACGATAGCGCATGTTTCTGCTTCCAGCTATCCTCCTCTGGAGAGCAGGAGACGAGCGATACGACACAGAGACACTGCTTTCAAAAGCCCTTTCTATGAACATTAAAGGTCAACGAGAGGATTCAGAAGCATGAAGAGTCAGAGAGATATAGTTGAAGCCCCCTGTACATTTTGCCCTGGAGAGAAGATTCTCTTCAGCACATTTCTAATCATAATAGTGTTAATAACTCATCTCTAATAACTGATTTATTTTCTCTTTGCCATGATAACAGCACATTATATTAGGCTAGATATTCTTCAAGACACTAGTGTTCAGCTTGAAGTGATATTTAAGTGGCTATTTAGGGTACAGTTCTGGAGACACCCCAAAACTAATATTGCTTTAGGGGGCTAATAATATTGACTTTAAAATGGGTCAAATAAATAAAAAAACGCTTTTATTCTAGCTGAAATAAAAGAAATAAGACTTTCTCCAGAAGATCAAATATTAGTGGAAATACTGTGAACAATGGCTGAATCTGTTCAACATCATTCAGGGAAATATTCGAGAAAGAAAAAACCCAAACTCTAAAGTCCCAGATGCTCCCACAACAGCAGTAGAGTAGCTATGATCTGATTCCCTGACAGATCTGTCTTTTATATTCATATTTCCTATATGATGCTTTACAGTTATATATTTGTGTGAGAATGTAGTTGTTTAGATTGCAAAATACTGATTAAATTAAAGATATATAGAAACTAAAAATATTAAGAAAATAAAGATTTGAAATGTTCATAATTTCGGAGATGCAGCATGTTGGCGGCCATCAGCCAGCCATACCGAGCAGAGCAAAGATGGTTGATGTTCGGCCACAAGATGGCGACAAAAAGCACATAATAAGTCCTTAGGGGAGAAAAACAGCACAATTTCAAACTACAGCTGATCAAATCTGTATTAAACAACTTAGTGATATTCTCAGGCGAACTCTCTCTTGTGATTATGTCTTCACACTGTTGTATAAATGCAATATCACAGGTTTAG